TAATTGAGAAGACTGTAGACCTCCATTAATTATGATATCCCAAGGAAAGGGGACAGGAGGCGGGACGGGGTGTTGAATGAGGATTGGATATGTTTGGTTGTATCATTTCTTGACATGTAGGGGGTATCAATGATCATAAGAAGAGATGGGTTGTATGAGCAAATAAAATCTTTATGTCATACCAAATGAAATCCTCATGATTTCCTGGCCCTTATGGTTTTAACTTGGGTTTTCTTTAGAATGTTGACATACAATGGAAAAGGATATTCTCGACCTTTTTTGGAATTGCACGAATCTGGATCCTTTGTTAGATCCTTAAATTTCTCTTTCCCGGTGCTCATTGCTAAGGTGGAGGGGCAGTTAATATCAAGGATTTCAGAATAATCAGCTTAATTGGAAATATTTATAAACTCATTGTAAAGGTACTAGCCAAAAGAATGTTCAAAGTAATAGATAAAGTGGCAGGTGAGTGCCGACATGCTCTTGTGGGAGATAGGCAAATTCTTGATTTAGCACTTGTTACCAATTAAGTGGTGGACAATCTGCTATATTAAAAGAGGGAGAAGCTCCTGCGCAAATAGATATGGAGAAAATCTATAATCTTGTGAATTGGAGCCTTCTTAATTATTTGCGATCATGATCAACAGGGCATGCAGGTATGGGGCTATTTGTCTGTGTAAAATGAGGTTTTAAGTGTAGAATTCTTTTAGCTCAAATACAAATTAATGTAGAATACATTAGGGTTGATTTGCCCACTTAAGGTTCTAAATATCACGCCTAATATTTGATTAAATCATACAATCAGGTATTGAAAAACTCTTGATGGATTTTGTTAAATAACTGGATGATTATTTTAATGAAGATTAGAAAGGTATTTATGCAAAATATCATTTTCTGAACAGGATTAAACTAAAAAATATTAGTACTAATGAAATTAGAAGTATTATTCCTACGACAATAGGAAAATAAAATATAAATGAAAACATAAAAATAACTAAAGTAATATAACTCTTGGCTAGTAAATTAAATTTACTGTTATGTCTATGCATTATCACACTGATATCTCTCTATATGTGCTTGGTTCCTTCCATCACCATTTGAAAGTTGTGCATGGTTACATCTTTCCATCATTTTCACTACTATTTTGGGTGATACTGACAGGATATTGGCGGTGATTAAATAAAAGAAATTGTCATGTGTGTCCCATTTTCAAGACACCGCCATCCATTTGTTTGTTTAAATGGAAGTCAGATCTGTTTTGAAAATTAAATGTGGCTGCTTTAGAATGGCAGTGGTCGGTGTAATTAAAGATTTACCCACACTGCTATCTACCTTCATTTTCTTACAGAAAAAATAGCATATTCTCATACATGTAAAAGCATAATTAGCATACTGTGCTTTCCTTTATATTTCCTTTCGCGGAAAATTAGAAGGTCTGAACTATTGATGATAACATGTATCATCAATCTTTTTTGGGTAATACCATTGATTC